TAGAAAACGGAAAATTTTCATTTTCCGTGAAAAATTTAGAAAAATAGACGAACTAAACGCGTTTTCAAAATTTCTCATTTTTCTTGGAAAATTTTTCCGGAAAACGGCCCATTTTTCTGCAACTAAACGCACCCTAATGATCTTCGGGACAATCCTCTATTTTCCCCAGAAACCATGTTGAAACATCTAATAATCACCGCTCCCAAACCGAAGGCAATAAAATAAGGGTCCTACTAATTAGACATCATATTCACTTATTCGACCCAACTATTATGAGTTTTCAGCTTTTTCAGACCTTGGGAATTGTAATTGCTTACTTTTTAATTTCATCTATTTTTACAATTGCAGTCACTACCTCGAAGCCATTTTTATTTTTTCAAATTTTTTTGAAGGTAAATGTCTTGTTGATACTAAAACTTATTTAATTTAATACCAAAATTTATTTCATTTCATCCGGCAATAAATGAGCATATGGATTATCATTTTAATTTAAAAAATAATAATAATAAACCATCATATTTTTGTTTATATAAAATCGAAACATTATTAACATAAAAATACACATACTGTAAATTATGGATTATCATTTGAAATGCTTTTACTTGATAGTGACTTTTGTACATAAATTACATATAAGTACTTTATAATATATTTATAAAAAATGATTTTTATAAATTGTATATAAATAATATAAAAAATATATAAAAGCTGTTTTATTTTAAATGTTTGATAACAAAAAAATTATCTCATTAAATATATTTTAGTAAAGTTTGTGATTAAATAGATTTAAGTAAAATTTGTAATTTGTATATTAAAAAAGGTTTCATCATTACTCCATAATTAATTAACAATTACAGAAAAAATCATAAAGTAAAAAAGTTATCATTATATTATAAAGATAATATTTAAGAAAAAAAAAGTTTAATGATTAGGGGGTCATTTTAGATAGTAGAGAGGGTCTTGTACCTTAATACTTGTACCTTAGTTGTTTTGTATTTTTTTTAATTGAGTGGGTTGAGAAAGATAGGATTTCCGTGTGTTGTGGGTTGGGAAAGATGAAGAAAAATCAAAGAGAAAAGCTGATGTGCCAGTGGGTTGGGTTGGGAGGGAATGACTCCCTCCTCCCTAATAGACATGATAATTATCTTTTTAAATTTAGTGACGATCACGTTATACACCATGTGATGGACAATAGGACTTGGACTATAAAAAACATCACATTTCTTCTTCAAAAATGGTGTCCCGTGGTTGATCTCCATAAAGCCCATATAGACCAAATCCATATTTTGCTTAAAATCCATGACATTCCTTATGAAGCATGTAACGATGAAGGTCTTAGCTACCTCGCTAGTAAAATAGGCAAACATTTAGCCAAGGATTCATGGACAGCCAACATGTGTACTTATGTTGCAGGTAAACCGACATTTGCCCGTGTTCTTATCGAGGTCCTGACTACGCCAAAGTGGATGGATATTGTCAAAAAATGCATCCCCGATCCTTTGACAAACACCTATATTTTGCAATCTTGATACTGAGAATGCTTAGAAAACCAAAATCCCCTTATGCCTAACAATCCTCTTCTTTTATCTCTGCTTTATGCGTCTTTCCTCCCTTTTCTAACATTTGATCACTCACTTGCTCTTCTTTCTCTCCCTTCTCATTCCCTTATTAACCAAAACCTTTTAAATTTTCTAACTTTCTTATCTCCAAATCTGGTTTCAAAGAGATTGTTACTTCCAGTTGAGACCCCACATCCCTAGGCACCATATGTACAGATTGTCTCAAAATCGCAAACGTCTGAAAGGTCCCCTGAGAAAACTGTTACACAAGTACGGAAACCTTTTCACAAAGGTCACCAATATTTTCACCAAGCTTGAGAGAGTCCAAATTGACCTTGACCGAGATCCTCATAATAAAGATCTTCGTGAAAATAATAACCGATTCCTCAATGCCTATAATGAGGCTTGCCTTAACAAAGAGAGATTCTTGAAAAAAAATCTAAGGTTGATTGGCTTAGAGAATGAAACAAAAACTCTTCATTTTTCCATAAATTTGAAGAAAGAAAACTATAGAAAACAATAATTATTAGTTTTTAGAAAAGTTTTGAAAATAGAAAACTGTGAAAAACAATAATTATCATTTTTTCAAAAAAAATTGTAATTTTAGAAAATATAAAATTTTTGTTTTTGGAAAAGTTATCAAACCAAACACGTTTTCAGAATTTACTCTTTTTAGAAAACTAAAGAAATTTTCACAATCAAACGCAACCTCGGTTATTGCTTTGAAAAGAGATAGCTTAAAAACGGCTAGGGAAAGATGAAAAGTTGGGAAACTATTTAGCAGCATTTCAACAATAAAAACAAACACTTCTGTCATTTCGCAAGATAAAACTTTAAAGAAGAAAGCTACACATAACACATAGTTTTACATATAATAGTAACAAAAAAACACACAAAGTGCAACTGCAAGGATGGTTTAATCTTTCTAGTCTTTTAGCAAATCCATTACCAAATCCTTGTAACTAACTTTCTTCTTCTTTGAAGGCCCAGGATTCGAATCCAAATTATGATGGATTTCTCTCTTGGGAATCGGTGGATCCATGATTGGACTTTCAATGGTTTTTGGTTCAAGGCTTGGAATCATGTCTAATAACATGGCTTGAAGAGGGTCTGGGCCCACCATTACTTCCAATTTATCACTTTTCTTATCCATAACATCATCATCATTTACATTAACATCTTTTACCAATGGCTCTGAATCTTCAACAATGGCATCTTGCATTTCATGTTTTTGCTTAATCCCTTGTTCTTCTTCTTCTTCTTCATCTGATATGTATTCGTGTATTTTGCGCGCCTTGTTTCCGGATCTTACCCTTGTTCTTGGAGGCTTGACACCTGTCTTTTTCCTAGTACTACTTGTTTTTGTTTTGGTTGGTCTTCCTCTTTTGTTGACTGATGCAGCCGCCTTTTCTTGTCTCTTTATGTCTTCTTTATCTAAAGCTGATGCTTCTTCATCAACTGTGTTTTTCTTCTTCTCTTTATCTTCTTTCTTCAAGCTCAACAAGCTTTCATTTTCACTGCAATTTACAAAGTTTCAACAGGTTAAATCGTTTATCAATATTCAATAAGAAAGAATATTTGAACTTACTCAGATGAAGTTGATTCCATTAATAAACCACTTGGGCTTGGCTTCAAAATATATTCATCCTCTTGAAGCTTTTCATCTTTCTCCAAACACTCTTCTAGCCATTGACAATCAACCATATGCACACTTTCATCCCTTAAAAGACGCCTCTCTGATGCTGAGAAACTACACAAACAATATCAAAAGATTAAAAAAACATAAAAACACATTATATATTTTTAACAAAAACAATTTGATCTACCTTCTTGCTATAGTATCAAACTCAACTTTAAATCCTGGTAAAGACATCACCACTAAATGAGTAGCATTTGAAATATAATTGCTGATTTTGGCACCACAAAAGGAAACTTGAAGCTTCATTCTTTTCATTGTTAGTTTAAGTAAATCTTCCCAATCCAAACTCCTTCATGTAAAAATAAATAATGTTAGAAAAGTTTTTTGATGAAAAAAAACAAGTTGAAAAAACTAAAAAAGGAGCTTACAGAGAGTTTTGTGGTATATAGAAGTACATACAGCACCCATTGAAACGTGACCATTTATCAAGAGGACAATATTTCTTCTTATAATGATCTATGGCTTTAGAATCTTTGGATCTTTTTATATTATTCAAAAGCTGGAGAACCATAAATTAAAGAAATGTAGAATATCAAATTTAAAAACAAAGGAAATTGGATGCTATGATTTTGTTTCTGATTACCTGTTTCAGATCTTTAATGTCAATATCCATGAAATACGAGTCTGAAAATTCATCAATCTCTTCCTGTAGCTTCTTCTTTGAAGACTCAGAAATGACAAGGAAATACCTGTTATACCCCTGAAACAATAAATCAAACTGAAAACACAAAAGGGCATATATAGAGGGTGAAGTGGTAATTACTTGGGTTGTAAAGGGACAAGTTTTTTGTGTGAACAACAATCAAGAAGCCATGAGTAGTGGATAACATCACCATGACGTTTTGCAGCTTGAAACTTAATCCCTTCAAGAAAAAAATAAAAAAAACCATGTGAATCTTTTCAGCAAAGAAAAGGGAGAATAGAGTAAAATGACGAAAAAGGTCACCTCTAGTTTCTGCAGCGATACAGTGAGTAACCGAATTATTCAAATTCATTGAAAAAGTACCACCATTTTCTGCAACCATTTTGTGAAGTGAATCCAAGGAATGTGTTGAAGGGACATTTGCAAAGTCTATAAACTTCAGTTTAGGAAATACTAAGTATAGTTTTATTATTAAATATAAAAACTGAAAACTGGAAGGATACAGAACATCATATTTGAGAAAATTAAGGTTTGTCCTTTGACTTGAGAAACATCAGTTTGAAGGAGATGAGAAGGAACAATAGAGCCACTCTTCTTCTTCTTCTCTCCAACTCTTGATTTTGATCTTTTTGGTTGATTTTCCTGTTGATTTCCTCCCCATTGTGTTGTATGATTGCTAGAATGCACCAATTCCACAAAAGCTGCAACAATAACAATAGCAATGTAGTTTTATATTTTTTTTTAGTTGGTGTATAAACATCATACTTTTATTTATTAGAAAAAAAAAAAAGAAGAAAAAATTAAGTAACCAACTTACATTCCACATCAAGGCATTCATGCCAAGGTTTATCATCCCTCACTTTATCTATACGAGGAAATCTCAAGCTATATGGAGCAGCAAAAACCTGAACAAAAAATTTATATTTAAAAAAAAAAAAAAATCATCATTTAAAAAAATGTAAAATTCCAAAACTACACCTCAGAACGAATTGTACGGATGTCACTAGTGATGGAAAGTATGATTGACCTGTGTTTGGCCAAGAAAGACCAAAATGGTGAAAAATATTCAATTTTAAAAAAAAAAATAATAATAAATATATAAATTATTATGGGAAAAGATATACTAACTTTTCAGGACTATCAATCCAGACATCTGGTCTTTCTTTTGAGTTATTTGTGACCTTATAATAACTAGGAGGACCCTTCTTTGGGTATTCGTTTTTCCTGCAGTAATAGTATTTTTTATTAAAAAACTAATAATTAAAATAACTAGTCTTATTTATCATATATTATATTATATTATACCTGAAAAAAGGCTTTAATTTATTTACAACCTCATCAAGCTCCTTATCAGATAGCCCAGTACCCACTCTGCAGAAGGAAACAAACCTGCAAATAAATCATATTTTATTCAGAATTTCAATTATTAATAAAAAAAATATATAATTTTTTAGTTAAATTAATGATCTAGAAACAAAATTTACCTCCTAGGGTAGGTGTCTTTGGCTGGGCGTTCTGCTAGGCCCATCAAAAATTGAGCCACCTGAAATTTTAGAGTAATTTATATTTCATTACTAAGTATATATATATATATATATATATATATATATATATATATATATATATATATAAATAATACAAGATAATAAGATAAATTTAGGATGTGTCCTCACCTGTCCACCACGGCGACCTGACCCATAATATCCACCTAAAATCAAATACTTTAATAATTATATAATCACAAATTAAATTTTTTAAAACAAATAAACATTTTGAAGAAAATAAAAACCTATAATGAGAACATCCAAATCAGATCCAGCTCTAACATATTCAGGTTTTAATTTCATCCACTTGCCACTTCGATCACTAGGCTCCCATTTGGACCCAAGGTCTTTCAAAACAATTCCTTCATCTCTATATTTACAAAAATATGTATAATTAATTATATAATGAATATTACATGGTATTAGTTAATTATATGAAATTAAAAGCATTAACCTGTTCTCAATTGTTCTTTTAAAAAACGTCTCAACATCATCAACAGTATGAGCAACACGTGACCAACATGGTTCCCCTGAAATTTCCATTATTCATTACAATTTACAAAATGCTAAAAAAAATTTAAAATAAAAATAAATATTTATTATTTACCAGCAGTTGTATGAACATTAAGACCACCATCAGGAACCAAAATCTCCAAACTACCCTTGATTGGCTTCACAACTTTTTTTAAAAGTTGATGGCGTTCTTTTAA